CCTGCTCACACTGGATAGTAATAGTTTGTGTCTTCCTCCAGAAGAGAGGATTCTCAGAGATCCCCACCACAAAGAGGGGTAGTGAGATGGCTGGGGTTAAAGGGGCCTTCATTGCTGGACACAGCACTACCCTGCCAAGTCGGCCTCATGGAATGCCCTCCACTGCACTTCACCCCTTGCCCGCCACGACCGCCATACCTGCTTACTGCAAGGTCCCTTCCTCTGCATCTGTGTCCTGGCTGTGCTCCTGATAGGGAGGAGGCAACAAGAGACCACATATCACTCACTGCAAACTCTGAGTCCTGCCCTGAGGCCCAGAGCACATCAAGAGGCCACACTCAGAGAGAGGGACAGCCAAAGGAAATGACTATGGAACCAGTCTAAACAAGGCTGATTTGGGATCGCATCAGGGTTGACTGGGGGCCCCTCAGGAGAGAGAAGGGACCAGTCAAGGAAGTTCTATGTGTGACAGGGGGCACATTTCTGCATAGAAAGACCTTCTCAGACTGGAGCAGGCTAACAGCCTACAATTCTGGTGGGACACCTAAGCCTTTGTCACAGCCTTTATGAAGACGACTAGTACTATGCCCAAAAGAGTAAGCTGAAGTACCAGACTGGGTGCAAAGAAGAAGAAATGAGCTGGACATGAGAAGGACCTCTTAAGCCCATCTGTCCTCACATCAGAGCCCAGCAGGGATGAAAAAAAGTTCCAGACCTAGTGAAGAAGTCTGGGCTCCAATACTGGCTTGACCCTTATTAGCTATAAGGCCCTGAGCAAGCTACTCGACTCCTCTGAGCCTCAGTTTCCTCACAGGGTAAAATGTGGGAAGAGTAATACTTTGCGCAATGCAGAGCTGTTATTAAGGTTAAATGAAGTTAGAAGGTGTGGACCAAAGGGCCTGGTGCTCAACTGAGCGTTCCTTAGGTAAACAAGTAGTAAGCACACAACAAAGACCTTATTGGCTCAGAACCTGGTTTGCCTTCCACTTCATGTAAGCTCCTTGCCAAGTGGCTTCCACCATCACAGATGGGGAACTCCCTTGATCCCTCATAAGACAGCCTATTATTTCATGCTCAGGCAACAATGGCTTTTAGAAAATCGTCAGGTAGAATGGATACCTACTTCCTTGTGGCTTTCCCAGGAAATCCCAGTCCCGCCCCCTGCAACTCTGCACACCGTATGTGCTTCCTGAGCTCCTGACTCTTCTGTCCCCATGTGGAAAACCGGGTCTCGAATGGGCCCTGGGCTCAAGAGAGGTCTGCCTCAGACCCCTGTGGGACTTCTGACTGGTGGCTGACACAGGCAACTACTTGCTGCTCATTCCCCACTTTCCTCACGGGACTGGAGCCCCTGGAAAAAGGAACCAGCTCAGAGGTTCCCATTCCCCTGCGGCGACTACGAGTATGAATAGCCCAGTCGCAGCCCTTCCAACCATGCCCTCACCAGCTCCTCCTCGCTGTGTGTCAGCAGCCCCTCCTCATCGCCGTCATCTCGAACCTGTGCTTCTCCCTGGGGTGTGCCTGCCTCAGAAGTTGTGTCCTCTTGGGGGAGCAGTGGCCGGCTGCTGCCACCATTATTGCCGCTGCCACTGCCACTGCCGCTGTCGCCTTTCTTCTTGCCATCTTGAAGGAAAAGGGTGGTGAAAAGGGGAATAAAACTCAGCCTGGGACAGCTTCCTGGGCAACACTTGAGCAGAAGCTAGGCCTCAACACAGTGGGTCCAGGTGGGATTAGAGGCCATCGTCCCTCTCTGTACCATGCACTGTCCTCCCCCCACCCTTTGCCTTGGGCCCCTGGACACTCAAACCAGGGCAAGGACCCTTGGAAGCTGACCTGGGTTGGCCTTCTGCTCCTCAGCAATCTGTTCCAAGCGGCCCAGCAGGGCGTCAATGTTGGACTTGATCTGTGTCAGCTCTGTCTTGATGGCCTGCAGCTCACTGCTCTTTACTGGGAGTGGAGGGAGTACAGGCTGTCACCTGGACTGGGAGCTCGATACTAACACAAGACCCTAGCCCCATTCTGTCAATGAGGAAGACAGGCCATGGCAGGAACTGTCCCTGTCCGCAGCTCTTTTCTGGCCAGGGAAAAGGCTGGAGCCGCCTGTGGCTTCCCTTGGCTTTCTGAAAGCCATTCTTCGAGTGACCAGACTGTCCTTCTGAACCTGTACCTTTCCCCCGACCCAACCTCTCAATTCTGAAAGGGACTGGGGCTGGATAGGAAGGTGTTCCTGAACAAGCATGTGTCTTTGCTGGTGATATAGAGTGGTTTCTGCCTTTCGAGGTGTGTAATTGTGGGTGTTTTACAACCAGATTTCCTGGGCGCCTGACCACAGCGTTTGCACACACGAGAGTGAATGTGAGTAGTGGGCCTGTGTAGACCTGTCCTGCCCTTACTAGAGGAAAGATGACCCCATCTCCTCACTGGGCTCCATGTCACAGCACTGGACTCTGTGCCCAACCCAAGCCCCTCCGCCTGAAACGTCAGCCTTTTTCTCTAAGAAATACATGAAAATACTCACTTGGTTGTTAGAGCTGCAGAACTGTGGGAGATTTGTTCCTTTATCTATTTTCCAATGTAAAAAAATGCAATTCTATTATTTTGCTAATGACAAAAAGAAGTTATTTAGGAAGAAAATAAGTCACTTACACTTAATTTTGACTGAGCTGGTGGTGATGGCTGTGGAGCGGGCAAAGAGCTTGACTGGAATGGTGGTTTTGACACGTCGGACCAAAGGGACTGTGACCCGGGGTCGCTTCACAGGGACAGCCCTGGGCACAGGCACCGGTGAAAGGCGGCCCCGATAGTCGAAGAGCCTGTGAGGGCAAATGGGCCAGAGGCTGCAGCATGGCCTGTGGCCACCAAGGGTCACTGTAACTTCAGACTAAAATGTGTATGGTTGGTGAAGGGCTGGCCTGCAAAACACACCTCTGCTTGCTCCTAACAAGCCCTGGGGTGAAGAGAAAGGGTGTTCAGAACCCTAAGAGCTGCTGGGATCCTCACTACATTCACTTTTCCTACCAGCCAGCTGCTTAAAGGCAGGTGAGGTGGCAGGTGATAATAGTTACAGCCCCATTCAACAGAGAAGTAAACTGAGACCAGCCCCAGAAAGGAGCCTTCCCTAGATAGAGCCACCCTGACACCTAGGCCTGCTCTATTTCTGACCTAGATTCTGCTCAATCAACTGCCACCTCAATCCCTGGTCAGAGTTTGTAAATTTCGCCAAAGCAGCACAAACCTTCAGCTGCGAACAGAGAGCTGTGGGACTGGAGGGCAATCCCTAAGCCTGCCTAAGCCTCAGTTTTCCCATCTGCCTAATGAGGATGGCTATCCCAAATTCTGTTCCCCTGGGTCCCCCAAACCTATGACAGAAGGTGTAATTGATGGATGGCCAGGGTACTAAGAGAAGCATGAGGTCCTTTCCTCATTCTGGACCCCCTCAGTCACTCCCTCGTCTTAATCCACTTCCGAGATGGAGGGCAGGAGACCCAGCAAAGTGTTAAGGTTGGGCAACTCCCTCAGATCCCCAGGTGCCCAGACTATTGCTGCCCCCCCGGCCCCCACCAACACCATTACCCAGCCCCCCCAGGAAGGCCTTTTTTCCCGTCATACAGCTCAGTAGGCTGAGTAGGGGTCTCTGCCACGACATCTGCTGCTACCACCTTTCAACAGGGAACGGCAGCCTCAGGGGTACACTGTAGGATCACTTCCCTGATGACAACCAGGAAACCTGACATCGATGGGCAATTCAATGCCCCATACCTTGGCACTCCTTTGTTCAGGGAGCCCCTGCCCTGGGTTGGTGATGACTGGAGATGGAAAGTCTCTGGGAATGGATCCAGTCCCAGACACGACATTTCTGCCCCAAAGGGGAGGAGGCGGCTCTGGCCTTGGTCAGAATCACTGAACCACAGAATCCCAGAGCAGGAGGAGCCCTGAGGGATCATTTGGTGCAAGCCTATTGCACAGACTGGGAGGGATTTACCCAAAGTCACACAATCCATTCAGTGGCAGAGCTGAGATTAGCACCCAGGTAGTCTGACTCCCAGGCTAGGGCACTTTCAACTACACTGCACTGTCTCCTGAAGCAATTCACAGGTGAGAAAACCAAGGCTCAGAAAGGTTCTATTCTTCTTGGACAGCCTGGGGCAGCCTGGAACAGCCTGGGACAGCCAGCCAGGCCAAGAGGGAGGGAGGAAAAGATAGAGGGAGAGAAGCAGGGGGGAGTTTGGGCCAGCTCCTACCATGATTTCCACTCTAGAGTGTGGATGGGGCCATGGAGTGGAGGCCACAGCCTCAAGTCTGGGGTCTGGGTAGGTTGGGAAGTGGAGGGTGGGCCACAGCCTACCAGGGACTAATTCACACCCCTAAAAGGGCCCCTAACTCTTGGCTATAAAAATAAGGCCCAGCAGCTCAGACTGAGCTCTGAGGTCCCTTCCTGCTGGCTGGGTAACTTGGATGGAACAGCAGAAGCATCAGAGCCCAAACTCCCTGCACTGGGCCCTGTACCGTTTTGAACTCCAACTTGCTGCATTTATGTGTCCCTTGGCTGTCCAGTCCCACTGAGCCCCACCCCGGATTTAGGAGGAAGACAGGCAGTCAGAGAGTGGGAGACAGTGTGGGGTGGGGAGCTCTAGCCTGGGCACCTGCAAACCTAACTCTAGTCCCCGCTCTGCCACCAACTCGTGGAGCAGCCTTGGGCAAATGCCTGTCCACACCTCTGGGCTGAGGTCCCACTTTGATGGCTGAATGGGCTGCACCAGCAATCTCTCAGGACCCTTCCAGCTTGGCTGTTCCATGCCTGGGCACGCCCCTTCCCTGCTCACCTTTCGTAGAAGTCGTCCCGGTAGTAATCACAGTCAAAGCTGTAGCCGCTGGGGAAACAAAGGGGAGAGGGCCGGGGCTTAGGGACAGCTACTCAGCTCACTCTTCACAGGCCCTCATCTCCAGACACCCTCCCAAACCCTAGGCTCAGCACAGTAACCACCAGTGCCTACTCCCTCTGTGGAAGAGGGACCAATCCCACCTACACAGAGACAGACAAGGCAGAACGCCCCACCTGTAAATGGCAGATGCTGCTCTCTTTAACCCCTTGGGTCTGTTGGGCTTGGGCTCACCAGCCATGTTGATGTCTGTGTGAAGGGAAAAGGCAGAGTCAGATGCTGGCAGGACAGCAGGTGCCCATACACGTATCACCCTCATGCAAGCGTGCAGCAATATGTGTACATATAGTGTACCCACAGAACACAGCCAGCACATGTCCTCACACATTAGACTCACCCACACAACACATGGAAACACCTCTTTACATATTCATATACGTTCAGACACATGCATGCAAGCTCATAAACATATCACTCACACATACTTCATGTACATCACACACATGTGTATTCTCAAGTACACTTATGCAAACACAAATATAGACAACACCCTCACACATGTTCACATATACAGGTAATAAGGTCACACACACACACACACACACACTCTCTCAAGTACATTCAGACTTGGTTCCAATATCATATACATAGCTGCCTATATACAAAAGATCTAATGAGCATTCATACAAAATTCTATCAAACATACTTATGCCTAGAGCAGTGCTTAGCACGTGATGGGACCTCAACAAATATTTGGTAAATGAATATATGCATATCTGCTTACACAATCATATATATTCTGACACATACTACATACATACCCACTATAAGGTATATGTCCACATATTCAGTTATATCCACATACCACATACTCAGGAATACATATACAAATATCCCTTCTCAAACATACAATACACACTCCACAGCAGACCACCAGCATGGCCACATCACATGTATAGAACACCAAGGCCAAGGGTACCTGCGTGCTTCAACTGTGCTCCTAGCACCTTCTCCTGGCTCCCAGAAAGCATTCTAACCTAAGCAATCTGTAGCCTAATGCATTGATTTGTAACTACTTAATTTATAACTATTGTTATAACATCTCTGACAGGGATAGTGGGTAGAAGTAGGGGTAAAATAAAAGGGATTAAGAGGGAAGCTGGAGAGTGAAGGCCAGCACCTACTCAGAATACTGGGAGCTTACCCAGGGTCTGCCCTGCCAGCACCCGCCCGTTCTCTCCCAGCACAGCTGCTCGGGCATGGCGCTCGTTGGCATACTGGACAAAGGCATAGCCCTTGTGCACAGAACAGCCGGCCACACGGCCATACTTGGAGAAGATGGTCTCCACATCTGACTTCTTCACCACAGCTGTGTTGAGGTTTCCGATGAAGACCCGAGAGTTGATGGACTTGGGGTCATTCTTGTTGGTTACGTTGCTTGTCTGGATCTTCAAGGACATGGTGGGCACCTGAAGAGAGAGCCACTGTGAGGCTGGGTCCACGGGTTGGGCTCAAGGGCTGCCCATGGCCACATCATAGCTAAGTGAATTTCTTATGCCTTCCTCTATCCCCCACCTCACAGCATCCAGCTCCCCATTTTTGCTCATCTTATTGGCTAATGAGCTCATGCCAGGTGCTTTACATATGTTCTCTCATTTGGTACGGACAAGCAGAACAGGATATTTTACAAAGGAGAGAACACACATTCAGAGGTCACAATGCTAGTGAATGGCAAGGCTGGGATCTGAACCCTAGTCTGCTTGATTCTATTTTTTTTTAAACCCACTCCATCTTTTTTTTAAAAAAAACTTTAAATTATCCTCTTTATTAAGAAAATAGATGACATGGTAAAAAAAAGTGAGACATTCAAAAATGTTAGAGCCAAGTTTTATGCTCCTAATATTGAACTTTTTTAAAAGTCATTTTCCAAAGCAAATTCATAAGCTATAAAGATGACCGTAATTCCTATTTGCAAACAATGCATAAAACATAAAGTAACAGGCACAGTATTCACATTTAAAAAATGCAATTTGGAATGTAAAACCAACTCCATCTTTAATGCTCATCTCAAAGGTTACCACCCCACACAGGATCTAAATTTGGAGACCTTCCACGGCATCTGTTCCTTCAATGTAAAACCATGGCCAAAAAGTCACATGGTAATTACAAGTAATGTCTGCTCCAGAACAATACCATTTTATGAGTATTGCTCAGTCTGATCCAGATGTGGACCTCGCTATTGCTGTCCTTATTGGTACCTGCCATTTTGAAAATAAGTCTCACTCAACACTCAGTGTGGGCTCAGTCTCCTGCTCATTGGTGCAACTCCCTTTGGAGAATGCCTAACCCAAGACCCCTAGGGTAATGCTAATATTTTTTCAGAAACAGACTTCAATAACTTCATTAACTTGCCAAGAATGGTCATTCAAACCCATGTCAGTCCCTAAAAAGCCCATTTCTTTCAACTCTATCACAGTCCGTCCCAGAGCTCAAGCCCATGTAAACACTACAATTAAGTCAGCATATTTATCTGAGAATTGTTTTTAAATAAATTTTTTAGAGTTAACTATTTTTATACTTACTCATTCAAATTTAGTTCTCTTTGCTAGAGATGATGCCGTACCTACTCTTTGTTCTCTACACTCTGGCAATGTCTTTTACCCCAAAGGGCTGTATAAATACCTCTGATACCCGCTCCATAGATAGGTTACAGCTGGGCACAAGCTACAGAGTATAAGGGAAAAGGAAGCTCGATTTCAGTAGGAAAGGGCTAATGTTAAGCCTTGGCATTTATACTTCTTGGCTCAGTCTTCTGCTCATTGGCATAGGTTGGTGAAACTCCCTTTTAGAGCATGCCTATCTCAGTACCCCATCCTAGAGTTATTTCAGAAGGTGCTAAAAAGAAAAAAAGGTGCTAAAGACCCCCAAGCCATATGTATAAAACTCTCACCAGCATAAGCTAACCGTAAACTCCTACCTAATTACCTTATATATTTGGACAGAGGGGGCTTCTTTTTAGTAAAATAGAAAAGAGCTAAGTGTATGCTGGAAAATCTGTATCCTTTGCCCCATCAGAGTAAGAGTCCACAATTCTCTCCACAATTCTCCTAGCCTGGGAGCTGGCATGTTCTGACCAACAGATGGCATTGTTTGCAAGGGAACCATAGGCTGGACCGGAGCATTCTGGAGAACCTGCTCCTAGGATGGGCTTGCAGTAGCTCCAAGGATATAGTGGGGGCAGTGTGCCATCCTAAGTAAGAAAGTCTGCGAGGGCACTGCTATTGATGAAGGGGCTGGTGCCAGCCTTGGAAATGGCCTGGGAGGGACAGATTCTTGTTTGTTACTCAGTTTCCCTTTACATCCAATCATCATTTATTGAGCAGTGAGGGACACAACAGAGACCCATGAAAATACCCCATACACTGTCCATATGCAGGAGGAAATGCTCGATATTTGTGGTTTTCTTTGGATTCCCCATTCCTCATAATTCTCTCTGACATCTTTTCTCCTACCTGGATGACAAGCCACTCAAAGGTTAATTCCTTTGCCCGTCTGTGGCTATACAAGACATTTGTAGGGCTTCTCCATGGTAAGCAGATAACTCTCTCCTGGTTGGTTCAGCTCAAAACCATTAAGTTTTGGCCCAGGAAGATGCTACCTGCTTTGGCTGGAGGGGACCAACCAGGCCTGGGGTGTGGACTGAGAGAGAAAGAGGAGGGGGGATTATGGTTCAGAGATCTGTTGATGACTGCTGGCTCTGCCACTGATCGATCGGGTTGGGACAAGACAGTTGCTGGGTTTCCTCAGACCTCTGCCAGACCCGCTAACACCACTGTGCAACTGCTCTTGTACGATATATAGCGGGATCAGTACCTGCTGCTTGGCTGGTAAGCACAGTCCTTTCACTTCAGCCCTGGCCCTGTCTAGTCTTTTCTCTCATCACCTAGGGTTTAGACAGTGCACATAAAAGGACTTCGCAAGCTGAGAAGCTTTTTACAAGATCTATTAACTATTTTGACTAGGTTCAACTTCTCTGTTCTACTAACACTACCATTTGTGGGCCCATTCTAGATGAGGGTCAAGATCAGACTAGAGCACATTCTGAATGATACCAAGAAGAGATAGCCAGAAGCCATGTCACATGGAGGTCAGTTTTCTGATCTGCAGAGAAGAGACTTGGGAAGTATATGTATGTGGCCGCTCTGGGTGAGGAATCTGCAGCCAGGGAGAAATGTCCACCTGAAGCACGCTCCAGGCACCCAACCTCTACACTTTCCCGTCTACACAGCCTCCAATCCGCTTTCAAGGCCTGCACATTCCTTGGAGGCAGGCTGTGCTACTGCTGTGGGTATCCCCCAAGTCCAAGGGGATAAAGTATCTATGGGGACATAGAAAAGCTCAAGTGTCTACATTCATGTCCATGAAGTTCCTACGAGGGAGGGATGGAACTGGGGGTGGGAGGTGGAAAGGAAGCATTCCCAGGCTAATTCTCCCAGAAATGCTAGGGTCCGGTGCAGAATCCCAGAGTCAAAAATTCTAAATCCAGACACGGTCTTCCAGGTTGTTAGGAAGAAAACAAATTTGTTAGCATTACTTATAACTTTCAAATATTTAGACATATGGTACGTGGGTCTCCATCCTATACTCTAGCTCTGCCTTGCAAAAGTTAGAGAGAGGAGTGACAAAGCCTGGGGCACAGTAAGTGCTCAATAAATGTTAGAGAGAGAGAGGTGAGGTGAGAAGGGCTAGCTGATGGCCCTGCCATAAGTGGGACCACTGAGGGCTGAGGTCCCAGGCACTTTCTCTGGTCTCTGACCCAAACACCACCCTCCACAGACCAACCATCCCCAACTCAATCTTTCACATGTAATTATTTTTTGGTTCTTCCAGGCTTCCCCCTAGCTTAGTGTGGGAGCCCTAGAAAATATTGACATCCTACTCAGCAGAAGTTGCTTAACTTGATAAGCTATTTCTCCCCTGGGCTAAACGCTGCCTCACAGATTAGCTATGTAATTGAGAGCAAGGTATCTGAAGCCCCCAGAGGCCCCATGCTTAGCAATGAGCTAAGGAGAGATAAGTAGAGGGACTGTTCTTGGTGGTGACGGTAGGAGGGGAGGTAAAACAGGAGAGGGAGAGAGAGACTTTTGCAATGTCAGATTAGCAGGGACCTTAGTGAGCACGAAGCTTGTATGTCCCCACTCTGAGGAACAGAGAAGGCCACAGCCATGAGTAGTAGCACCAAGAAACCCATGGGTCCTCTGACTCTAAATCTAGGGTCCTTATATTCTATTTTTCCTTCTGGGCTGATATGAGACAAGCCCCCAGGACAATGAAGAGCTGGGAGGCGGGGAGTCTAGATATGCTATGTTTAAGAAAACCAGGGTCTGGCTCCCAAATGTCTATACCTTTACCTGCTAGAAAAACAACTGCTGCAGAAAACTGGGTCCTTAAGCTAATTAAAGCACACCAGGGACACAGTCTTTGAAATGCAATTTACAGCTCAAAAGGATAGGCTAGCTTCTTCAGGCTAATAAGAATAGAAGAAATTTGGCAAAAACAAATCATTTTCCCAGTTGAAACATTTCAGATGGAAGCTATGTTTTGAAAATCAAGAACCAAACCTAAACATGGATGAAGTAACAGGGCGTTGTAAAGGTAGAAAAGCCCTAAAAGGTACCTCCACCCCTGAACTCTAGGTAAATGAGACCCACAGAGGCCCATCCCAAGTAAGAATAGCCTCAAATTACTGACTGCTAACGATGCGGCAGAGACTTTACATACCTCATCTTATTGAATCCTCACAACAGCCCAATGAGGAGGTATTTTAAATAGGGACACGGAAGCTCAGAGAGGCAAAATAGTTGATAAACAGAGCAAAGCCAGAACTGGGACCCAGTCTGTTTAACTCCAAAAACCTATGCTGAGATGTTTGGAGACTTAGTCCCACAGTGAGAATGTGTCAACCTGAGCCAGTCACACCCTCTCCTTGGTCCTCACCTGTTCCCATTTTCTACTATAATGCTTCACACACACTTGCACAGGACTTTAGTAAATAAAGCCAATATATATCCTTGATCCTGACATTGTTGGACCTATTTTATAGATAAAAAAGCCGGGGATCAGCAAAGATAAGTGACTTATCGAACGTCACCTGGGTAGTGAAGAAAGTAGCTAGGGGGCTTGAATCCAGGCTTTTTGTTCAACATTCTACATCCCAGTCTCAGAACACCTATAGGAAATAGGCAAATCCTCCCCAGCACTGGGTCTCTTTTTCTTGAAATGCTCATTTCAAAAGAGGAGCTGCTGCTCTTGGCCTTAATGATTTACCACCGGCACCATCTGCTGGACACCTCTGACCTTATTTTCCAGCAGGGAATGAGGGCCACACCAGTCTGTGGCTTGACCTCTGCTCTTCAATAACCCTGGGGACATTTGGGCTTTATAGGAAAACAGCTATCAGAGACGAGGA